AGTGGTTGAGTCCCCATCCCTGGAGGTATTTAAAAGACGAGTAGATGAGGCACTTAGGGACATGGTTTAATGGGCATGGTGGTGTTGGGTTGACGGTTGGACTTGATGATCTTAGAGGTCTTTTCCAACCTTAATGATTCTATGATTCTGTGTACCTGCTATTGTCACTACTTTAAGAACAAATATTTTAAGTATTTCAGACCCTTTATTTGAGAATGAAGTGCTTTCATCTTCAAAGCTGGGTACAGGGTAGATATCAAAGTAGCAGAACTAGAAAGCCACAATAATCATGGTTATGACAAGCTAAAAAAAATTACTATTGCATTCACTTTTGTGCCGAGAAAAAAAAGAAAGGCTAGACAGATAATAGATGACCCAACCTGTACTGTTTGTGCAAATTTGCCTTTGTGGCTAGGTTTTAAGAATACTTTATATGTCATTTGCAGTTGCTTTTCTCTTAAAGAATATGTTTTCCTATTGAATAAGTTATCTGTGATCTGAAGTATCCTGACCTGATTCTTTAGATGAAATCCAGGACTAAGTCTTGCAGAGGATCTGAGGATCATGAATGCAGAGATCTCAGAAGTTGCTAAGAAGGAAAACAGATTCATGTGCTATTTCTAAGCAGTAAGACATAATAGCACATAGTATTCTAGTCTTCTCAATAAGCAGTTATGATTAAAAACGTAAAGTCAGAAGATGTAGGAAGAGAATTAAAACATGTAGGGAAGTATATAGTATATTACTTTAATGTTTGAAGTTCTTAATATTTGGAGACAATTGTAAATACATAGTCCTTACCTTTGAGATATATAAATTACATATAATAATAATCATCTAATACTCAGATAATCTAATCCATATATTTTGTTCATTACCTAGGATGTTTTTATACCACAGAGATATAAAACTTTATACCAAGTTTTGGAGACTTGATTAATTGGATACTTATTTGCAAGTGTTGAGATACTCATCGGTCAAGTCATTGCTTTTTCTCTCAGGTTTTCTTCCCTGTTTTGATGAAAAAGCATTATTTAATGAGATCATGCCATAATGTTTTAGGATATTCATGGTATGTTTCCTTGTGACTATCTTCCATTGTTTCTGCTCTCAAGACTACGTGAGTTGTGTGAGAAATTTCAAGTATCTGCATTTCTATATGCTGTTGCACCTAACAGGATTCAAGTGCCATGTAGGAAATGGCTGGTGTGGTCAATAGTTAGTACTGGGAATATTGCCTTAGGGGTGATGGGGGAAATAATTTTTGTGAAACTGTCTGAAACACCCTTTACATTGCATCTAATAGGACTACTTTGGTGTTTCTCTTTTCACAGGATGACCGCTTGAGAGAACCACTGCAAAAGCTGAAACTGGCTGTCAGCAATGTCATGCCTGAACAGTTATGCAAGTATCAAGAGGACTGTCAGGCCCGCAATCAAGCCAAGAATGCCAAGTAGGTATTTCTGGAGTCTGTGCATGCCCATTCTAGAGTCCAGCTGGAAGTCGGTCTCCATGTTGTTCATTCCCTGAGCTCAGCAAAATACTCAGCTCCAGTTTACAGGTGTCTATAAGTTTTGAATTGCACAAAGTACTTAGTTTTGTGTAAGTGATGTTATCACCTGACTCTAGAAAGAAATTCCATTAACTGAATGAAATAGGTCTTGAGAGAAAGAAATTATAAACTGTGAGAAGGATACTGGAGATTCTCAAAATGCTGGATTAATGGAGGAGGATGGTGTGTTCAGGTTCTTGATATATTTTGTCCTTGTTCATTGTAATTGCTTCTCTCATAGTTAACTAATTTTAGACTTGGAGAAGCATTAATAGATTGATAAGCATCCTGCCATTTCCCAGTAGAGGCACTACATGAAGCTTATAGCCAGCATCCTTGATAGCATCTGTACAGTGTGTCCTTTTCACTTGTCTCTGAGGACCATGAAGTGGTGGGGAGAGGAAGATGAACTGTTTACCCTTTCAGGAAGGGTATAACAAGAATCTGAAGACAGGTCCTTTTTTTTTCCCTGACACCTAAAACGATACTCCTTTCTCAAGGAAACATTTTGTCTGTGTTTTATACCTGTAAAGAAAACAATTGTTCTAAATGCAGGTTGCAAGCGGAAGATGAACGAGAGAAAAATGGATCGGAGGAAGATGATGATGAGAAACCTGGAAAGAGAGTTGTGGGACCCAGAAAGAAGTTTCATTGGGATGACACAGTGAGGTGAGACAAAACTACCTTTTCCACCAAGAATTTTCACTGACTTCATAAAGGGATCTCCAAGGGGATGTTATTACATGATACTGTTTAATAAATAATCGTTTTCAGAAGTACACCTCAGAGAAGTTTTGGAGAGCGTTGGGGCTAAATAGGCAAGGTAGAATGCTGCAATGGTAAAACACCCTTTTCTTTAACTTGAAAGGCAAGATCATCCTATGTCCAACCCTTTTTTCACTGCTTGTTTATCTGCTTTATCCAAATACGGGAGAGTTTTCCTTGTCCTAGGACTCTGAGCTTCTTTAAGCAAAGAACAGATGTAAGCAGAGTTATACCTGCTTCCCACCATTCTAGGAATAGGTCACAAAACACTGTCACCCGATAAGCGGTAAAGACTTCTGCCGCAATAGGGCAGACCTCCAAAATTGGCGATGCTGGTTTGGCAAGCCTCTCGGTCCTTGGGCAAGCCAGTGTCCAGAATGCATTAATCTTAACCCCTCCCATCCCCTCTGAAAACAAATTCTGTTATCTCTCAAGCAATACAGATTCTTGTCTGAAATGGTGAATTCTCACTGTTCTGTTTCCTAGAACAGATTTTCCTGAAAACTGAGATTACTATTATTTAAATAATCTAGATAAGCTTTTAAGCAAGCAGATCCTTCTAAATAATTAATTTCCCATGCGAGTTCTATGCTAATTTTAGTACAAGTATAGATATTATTGAAAGGGGCTGGTGGACTTCTTGCGATGAGTCTTTTTAGTATGTTAAGACAACAGGGAAGCAAGCTTCATGGAATATATACAACCAGTATAGCTTGGACTGACCTGGAGGGAGCCATACTTGAAGAAGAGATACTTGAATCTGTTGTTTTTTTCCATTCAAGAGGCTCTGAAAGGCCAATGTAACTTAACTGTGTGGGCTTTTATATTTTTAAGGACAGTGAAAGCCAGCATCCCTGTCAGAAAGAATCTTCTGTTGAAATATTCAGTGTAGAATGGATTTCACTTGCTTTCAGACATTCTTCATCTTAAATGAGATAGAGGTCACTGTGAGCAGAGTGAGAGGAGATGTTTCAGCTATGAGGAAACCACAAAGAAAATATAAAACCAATTACAAGACGATAGGATGAAGAAAGAGCCATACGGTCTGTTGGCAATGGAGATGTGGCAGATCATACCAGTTGTAGTAACAGACTTGTGCATTGGCAAGCTTCCAAAAAAATGATTGGAGCTGAGCTCTTCCTACAACTGGCAATGGACAGCAGCTGTATAGCATCAGTGCTTCCATTTCTCAGCCTTTTTCTTCTGAGCTTTTGAAAGAATTGTTTCTTTCAATATATTTATTGTGTTTCTTTCTGCAGGTCTCTGTTGTGTAATCTTGTCAAGATCAAGCTGGGATGCTATGAGCTAGAGCCAAATAGAAGTCAGTCTGCTGAAGATTACCTCAAAACCTTTATGGAAACAGAAGTGAAACCACTTTGGCCTAAAGGCTGGATGCAGGCAAGGTAAGATACCTGCTTTATATATCTATTCATCTTGGTGTTAACTATTCCTTGGATCTTATTTATTATCATACATTTGACTCAACCATGTACTATTAATATTGGTTAAAACTTCAAAATATGTCAGTGGAACTGGAATATTTTAGAAGAATGAATGTTTTTCAGAAGTTAATTTTCTATCTTGTTTGCAAGCCTGAGAGCTAAAACCCCACTGTCTTCCTTGGAGAACTATTTGCTTTTGTCATCTGCTGGAGACTGGATTTACTAAAGTTTGTAACACAGTGCATGATGCTTCATTTGAGGGGGAAGTATGAGGTGGGGGGTAACTGCTTGGGAAGTTTTTTCTGTGATATAGAAAGCGATAGTGATATAGAAAGCAGTTTTGCCTATATGTTTTAAGCAGTCTGATAATGCAGTGTGACATAGACTTTAAAATTATAAGCTGGAATTTCAACACCAGAGTTCACAAAATGCTAAGGTTTGTGCTCTTTCTTTTCTGTATGCAATTGGGATGCTCTGTGATGCTGCAGTTAAAAATACACCAGTTTCTTAATGAAAACTTATACTTGCTTCCTACTAACTTATTAAGAGGAAACAACCACACAAGGGGGGGGGGGATAAAATGAGAGCAATAGTAATCATTGTGAAATGCAAATTTGACAAAGTTTTTTCAAACACTTTGAAGTGGAAGAAGAGAAGCAAATATAGATGAAGTAAGTTCTTTCCTTCTGTAGCACCCATTGCAAAAGACGATTTCCCATCAAATCTTGACCTAACTGTAAAAGCTAAATGATACAACAATACTAATCAATATGCTCAAGAATACCTTGATTGTAGATTAGTCAAATCTGTATCAAGCTGTGAAAATAACTGTACTGAGATATTTCCTAGAATAGTCAGTGCAGAAAATGAGGGTGTAATAAGCTGCTTGTGAAATAGTAATGAAAGGAACAAATGAAGTTTTACACTTCTTGGCATACAGCTGACCTATTGTTCAAGAACCTAGTTTTGTATAGTAAGTATGCTGATGAACGAGATCTTTTATGAAGATTCTATTGAAGGAGATGACACAAGGAGTCCCAGTTTAGCTTAAGAACAGATATGGAGATCACCGATAGTGGCGAAATAGTCAAGTGATAGTGTAAGGTCATCCAAGAATACATAGAAGTGAAGCATGTTAAAACTTTGTATTTGAAAGCCATATAACATCGATGGTTCTTTCTTTTCCATATAAGTGTGCTGGAAATTGCCATAAACTTTTAAACCGTCTATGAAAGTGGTTTCAATAAAAAACCCCAAAACCCAACCAAACAATAAAACCTAAACCAAACAAAAAAACAAAACAACCCCTCCCCCCAAAAAAACCCAATCAAACAAAAACGACCAACAAACCAAACAAACCCCAAGAGCTGCGTGATCATAACTTTCTGTTGATCAGCAAGACTTCATTAAATAATGATTTAGAAATTGTCCTCTATTTATGGGGAGGTGCTTCCCTGCTTTTTGTTTAGGAAGTGATGTATTGTAATTTGTAGGCAAACAGTTATGCATGGAAAGAGGAAAAGCAAGTATTTCCTGGAGTCTGACAGTGGTAACCCCTAATACAGCACGTTATTCATATGCTGGATGCTCATCTTGTTGGGATGTTAGGGTAGGGATTATCATGCTGAAGGCTTACAATTTTTTACCTTTATATGTGGCCTCAAGTGAGAAGGAGCTATGTAAACGGAAAAAAAAATTAGGCATTTAATGTTAAAAATGGCCTACAGACTACATATTTCATAAGGAATTCTTACTAATCATAGTAGGTCTATGGTACGAGAACTCTGTGGGTTCAGCCCAGAGGAAAAATTTCTGGCTTTTTCAAAGTTAACTGTATTTAATGTTCCTCATAGCTTAGTATAGAAGCGTGAGGTAAGGTATCGACCTAACTTTAAATTGCACCTCGTTCATTTGTCCATGTGTACCACAACTACCTTTGTCACATGAATTTTCTATGTGTGTAACTTCCATACTCTGCCCCAAGAGATTGTTTTATTAATATTTATGGATTTAGAGAAATACTTTTTGTCCTAAAGGATCCCAAAGCCTTTTCAAATAATATAACCCACTTTTTGTGTAACTGAGTTGCATATTAATTCCATGTGTGTCTGAAAAGAGCCTGCAACCTAAATATGTGTATGTTCAAAAAAGAAATGTAAGGAACAGGAAGTCTGTTTCCTTTAATTCCAAGAGTTTCATCTTTGGAGGTGGTCATGCAAGTAAACTTGCAGCACACTTATTTTGCACAGGTCAAACAGCACGCTTGACTTATAGAATCATAGAATCACTGAGGTTGGAAAAGACCTCTAAGATCATCGAGTCCAACCGTCAACCCAACACCACCATGCCCACTAAACCATGTCCCTAAGTGCCTCATCTACTCGTCTTTTAAAT